CATTGAGAAGCTTCCCTATGAAGACTCTGATTTTGTAGTCTGTTCTCATGACAAACTCTGAATTCAATGATGCTGAAGGCACCAGAGAAATTCCAACGCTTTTCTCTATAGTGGAAGGGAGCAGAACAAGTGTGGCACAAAAGCAGGTATTTCAGCTCTGTTTAAAAGGATTCTCATAAGCTAACCATCACATGTAGTGTGTAAATGGAAAAAAAATTGGTTTTGAAATTGGTCCTAGAGTGCAACATAATGTAAACTTAATAAATTTCTATTTCATAAAATTAATTATAATCCTTGTCACTAAAAGCTTCCTCTATTTAATTCTCCATTAACTAAACAAAGATGGAGGAAAGGCAAAATAAAAGGATTTTTCCTACAAGAAGTAGGGAAGTATTTCAAATTTGAATCCATTTATGAGCTAAGTTGTGGCATAAATGCTGAGTAATGTGATTCTACACATGAAAATAGATGATGCATGGAAAAAAGTTATACTGAGCAATTGTTTTAATTTAGGACCACAAGAGCTAAAGTCCATAGTCCTAAAACTGTTTCTTATGTGGAATCCCTAGGAAATTAAAGGTGATTGATCTCTACAGTTTCATTTCATGATTTTAGAGTTTTTTTAAAATTAACTTGCAACTTACTTAAAAAAACTTTAGCTAGATAGATCAAAATTACTCTAAATTTATCACAGTTCTTGAGCTATCAGTACATACACTCAATAGATCCTTGACTGTAAATTTCTTTAGATGCAATAGAGATAATTTAATACAATATGTAAAGACTCTCATATGCATAGCATCAACTCTAAAGGCTAGTTCAGGTCTTATAGATAGATTTGCCAGTGTTCCAAAGAAGCCAGTCATGATAGGTTTATTTTTGCAACTGCATATAAAACGTGACACACAAAGTCTAGTTACTTACTCTAGTTACAAAGAGTAATTAAAAGTAAGAAAGATGCACATTTGGATGTATGAGCTGCTTCTACATTCTTCTTCTAGCAATGATACATAACAGCAGAAGAATGAACTTGTGACTGCAGCATCCTGGAGAGGTAACAAGTACTGACTGTACCTACTAGGGCAGCAGATCTTTAAGGATTGGTGGAAGCTGGACTAAGTTGTCTATGTGTTGACATGTCCTTCACAACTCTGAGTCATGGCATCCATAACTGTGGAAGACTATTACCTTTACAAGAAGGGCAATTACTGTATTACTCAAGATCTTACAATGCCTCTATTTCAGTCAGTTGAGTGCCTAAGTAATCCTAACAATTACATACAATTGTAAATAACACTAAAATAGTCTAAAAATATGTGCTCAAGCCTTCTTACAGAGGTTGAGTTATTGCATTACTATGTTAAATGATCATGAGCTAAAGGGATAAAAAAGTCTTTCATCAGGTATGTAGTTCTAGTAAGGCTTCTTTGTTTTACTTTTAATGCAAACAAAAATACAACAAATTGTTGGCAGTTGTGTTTAAAAAATGTGTAACACTTCTAACCTGTTGACTAAGGAACTGCTGTGAATTTCTGGCATCCTATTCTATAAGTCTATTCTGTATGTCCCTATTCTATAGCTTAGATGTTTCACATCCAGTAACAGTAATAGTTTGGGACTTTTTCTGATAAAGGTATCCAGAATGTTTTGCTCTGCCTTGCTTAGCTAAGTCTCTGAATAGACAGTGACTATGAAAATTTATATCTTTCCATCTATTTCATTCACTTCTTGGCCAGACTCTGAAAGTCTCTTTCTACATCCACATCCTAGGTAGTTTCAAGAACTCCTTACCTGTAAGGATGTCTGTCAGCAGGCGGAGAGGCAGGTGTAGGAACTCCTCTGTCTCCTGCAGCTGAGACAAATGTGACTTTGCACAGTGTTTGGCAGCTGTGTAGAGCTCCATGTCACTGTGTTGATCTGCCAACCACATGACCTGCAGACAGTTTCTAACCTGCACCGTACGGGCCAGAAACCGGGAGCACTCTTCAAAAAGGGCAGTCAGCTGGTACATGTCTGCCACTTCATAGGTTTCCTGCAATTCCTCTGCCCTCAGCTTTACAGTTCCATGGTAAATATAGTCCACAAGGAGCTGAAAGACACTCTCACTAACATCCTGCAGCTCAATCACCCGGTTGTGGGCCTCCTTTAGGTTGGAAGTGAACATAGAACGAAAAAAGCAGCTCTGAGCTGACAGGACCAAACGGTGCAGCTGGAATTCTTTGCCTTCCACTGATATTGTAACATCAGCAAAGAGCTCATCCTCCAAGCATAATTTCATAATACCCTGGGCCACGCGGCCTGAGTGGGAGCGGTCGGTGAAGGTGTAGTTCACAAAGTAGTTTTCTTCTGCAGAGGAGCCTCCAGTCTCTTCTGACGAGTCCATGGTGCCACACAAATCAGACCTCCAGCAATCTGTAAAATCACAATAATTATACGGCTTCCTCTCACCACTAACAAGATTATGCAGTACTTCAGGGTACAGGGAAAAATCAAACATATTGGTAAGAGTCCAGCATATTTTAGACTGAACATAAATAGCACAGCCAGAAACTTGTGCTTGAGCTTCAGAATCTCAAACAGCAAATGAGAAGTTGGCATAATTAAAATTATAATATATACCAAACTTCCAGTACAGTGAACATCACATCCCAGCAGGGCTGGGAGACGTGCATATCTTTTCACCACTCATTTCACTGACACAAAGAAACGCATCAAGTTATTTAAGTGGAAAGTCCAGCAACTGCCCTAGGAAACTTGCAAAGCCAAAAAAAGTGGCAGCAGCATATCTGGACTGGATGTGAAAAGGATCACAGTATCATACTAAAAAAGAGCACAGGCAGCAGTTCACATCATCAGGAGGTGTTAATTACTGTCAAAACCCAATGATGAATCTGTATCAAGGTGAACTTGTTTTTACCAAAAAGATGCATGAGATTTTGGCCTGACATCACCACCAGTCCTTCAAGCTAACCGAATGAGACAACTGATGGTTATGCAGTTTGTTAATGTTCCAGTCAACTTCAGCATGCAAAACAACATTTTAGATGTTAGTCACTGTTTCCCAAGTAGAATGGGGAACAAAATGTAAAAGAAAACACCTCTCAGCAGGTACCATGGATGTCTGCAGCACTCCAGGTAGTTCATGTGTCAGAAAAGCTTCTGAAACACAGAAGGACTACTACAGCAAGGAGCTCTTTTTTACCATGGCTCTTGACAGCATTTGAAACAGTTGCCTACCTGCCTTCACTTTAGACTTACTTTTACAACTGAACTACCAGCCATAATGTCTGGTAACAGAAATTTCTTCAATTAATAATGAACATTATTTCAAGGACAATGTTTCACAAAGATGTGATTTTTTTTTTCTCCAGCAGATTTGTAGCTACTCTTCCATGGTTTATCTTGTCACACATGCATTTTCTTACAATTACTGTGCTTGATCAGGAGGGCTCCTAAGTTCTTTGCACAAATTCTGTTCATGGGAAGTAGTGTCTACATCCCTAATTGGCTGGACAAGTCCATCTCATCTCTGGTGATAGCCTGCCTTAATTATACTCTTATCCCAATTTTACAGTAGTTGTGGTCTGTCTGAAAAGTAACTATACAGTAAGTATACCAAAGTACCTGTCTATAAGAGACGGAGGAACTGCAGTCAGCACAGAACACATCAGTACTCTTTCTCCAGCTTTATGAAATATGAGCCTATCCTGCAAATTGGCTTCCACTTCGCATAAACCTCTTTATCCTCACAGTCAAGTTGCTTAGGAGCTTCAGCCCAGAATGCAGAAGAGACCACACAGAGCACCAGGATATGGACAGATGAACTACTCTGTCCCCTCGGCATGGCAGAAACAGCTGCCCACACCGCCCTGCACAATTCCTAGAGGACTGATACCAAGTCATGAAAGAAATGCCAAGAAGCAACTAAAGACTACACAAATCTCGCATCTTCCTTGTAGACACCCAGACAAAGCTCGCCTTTGCACCCATGGTATCTCTGCTATAAAGAAAGAGGCATAAAGGACAGTCCCATAAAGCCGAATCACATGCTTCATGCATTCCATAGGCCAAGCTATCAGTGACAGTGGTTTAACCAACACCTAGTACACCTCCTTCACAGAATGGCAGAATCAATTAAGTTGGAAAAATCATCTGAGACCATCAAGGCCAACCTAAGGCTGAACACCACCCTTTCAAACAGACCACGGCACTGAGCATCACATCCAGTCTTTCCTGAAACACCTCCAGGGACAGCAATACCACCACCTCCCTGGGCAGTCCATTCCAGTCTCTAATCATCCTTCCTGTGAAGAAATTCTTCCTAACGTCTGGCCTAAACCTCGCCTGCTGCAGCTTAAGCCTGTGTTCTCTAGCCCTGTCGCTGGTTGCCTGGGAGAACAGGCCAACCCTTGTCTGGCTACACCCTCCTTTCAGGCAGTTGGAGAGGGTTATAAGGTCATCTTTAAGCCTTCTTTTCTCCAGGCTAAACTAACACAGCTCCCTCAGCCGTTTCTCACAGGACTTCCATTCTTTCCTTGCTTCTTTCTTTCCCTGCTCCTGACAGGGTCGCGGATGCCACGGCGGCGCCCGGGACCGGGGAACCCCTAAGGACAGCTGACAGCGACCCCACGGTCTGAGGCGGGGAGAAGGAAGGAAGGAAAGGAGGCCGATCCTCGGAGAAACGCAGATTCCCACCAGGGCCGCGCTGACGCTGTGCAAGGCTCAGCGCTGGCTCAGCCCGGGGGCTGCCGGGCTCCGCCGCCCTCCGCGCCCACACCTCCCGGCGCTCGCTGCTCCGTCCCCGGGCCGCCGGCCGCGCTGCTCCCCCCGGCCGCGCCGCGCGGCACCCACCTGCGGCGCCTCCCTTCATGCCGCCGCCCCGGGCTGCCCCAGCGGCTGCTCCCGGCCCTCACCCTGCGCCAGGTGCCGCCGGGCACTCGCCGATTCCGCCCACCGACCCGGAGTCGTCCCCGGGAAGCTCTTCGCGCGCTTCCGCCCCCGGGGGAAGCGCGGCGGCGGCGGCGGCGCTTTCCGCTTCCGCCCCGTGCCCTTGCCCGTCTGTGTCCCGGCGGGATGTGGGCGGCGGCGGCGCGGGGCCTGGCTCGGGCCGCGCTGCGAGGTGAGGCCGCGGGGGCTCGGGGGCCGTGCGGGGGCTGTGCGGGAGCCGTGTGGGGGCCGGGCCGGGCTGTGCCGGGCGGTTGGCGGTGAGACGTGTCCGTTTCTCTCTGCAGCTGGCGCGGCACCGGCGGCGGCGCGAGCCCGGCTGGCGGGGAGCTCCGCCGCGGACACTCGCCGTAAGTGCGGGGCCGGTTTGGGGGCGGAGGGGGCCCGAGGCGTGCGGTTGTGCCGCTGCCAGCCGGCGGGAGGGCACCGAACCGCCCTACGGACGTTCCTGGGCGGTGGAACCGCTTTTGTGAGCGTGTCGGGAAAGGGTTGGTCCGGTCACCCGAAAACCCCACATGGGCAGAAAAGTGGTTATGTTGGTAACCGTGCTTGCTGTGGGCTCCCGTGCTTGCTCTGGGTTCTTGTCTGCATCCTTTCTCAGATGCAGGGCCAAGCCTGCTTTTTCTGTGCAAAGCTGTGCCTAGGCAACAGCTTCACAGGCCCTCATTGCCCTGACTCTTAAAGGCTTTTTCAGTGAAAAAACACACCCCAACGACGTGAGCTCCTAGAGTGTTTTGTTTATGAGGGGCTTGCTTAGATGTTGACACATCCAGCAAACCCAGAAAACAAGGCCCTTTCTAGACCCTAGTTGAATGACATGAGCAGTTCCTAAGTTCATCTCTGCTGCCCTCTTTTTCATCTGGCTATTTACTCCTCCATCTGCTTGTTGTTGGACAATTCATGCTGCTCTTCAGAGTTGACAAAATTTTAGCACTGATACAAATTTCCTTCATTATCAAAGTGTCTAGTTCCACCTTCCGTGTAACACAAGTATGTTGCTATAGTGTAGTCTCTGACAGACAGCTAGACTAAATGCAGCTAGGTTAAATGGAGTTACTACTCTTCTTTCTGTAGCTTTCTGTATTCCCTGTCATAATCTTGGAAACCTTGTTTTTCTCCTTAGCTACTGTCAGACCAAAAAATGAAGTAGAACAGAAGCAGCTGTGTGCTTTTGGGGAGTACGTGGCTGAGATTTTGCCTAAGTATATCCAGCAAGTACAGGTAGGTGCTGTTCAAGAAATTGTTCTTGTGGCAGGACAGGATCCAGTGATCACACAACTTTTTTGTTACCTGTTCAGAGAAGTTCTGGGGAAGAAAAGGGCCAGAATTCCATGAAAAGTACTGCTGTTGTTAAGTCCCTTAATCTGATGCCTTTTTGTGTCTGCTGTGTCTCTTTGTTTGAGTGTTCCGCTGAAATCAGCATCATGTTCAGTCCTCTTGGTGTTTGTACTCGTGCCCTTCCCACTGCTCTGTTTTCATCAGGTGACCTGTTACAATGAGCTGGAACTTCTGATCCATCCAGATGGGATCATTCCCGTCCTGACCTTCCTTCGTGACCACACCAACGCTCAGTTCAAATCCCTGGCTGACCTGACTGCTGTTGATGTCCCGTCTCGGCAGTACCGCTTTGAGGTAGGAACTGCTCGGAGGTGCAGTACTTGGAGGATTTCACAAGTGCTGATGGCTGTACGTGCTGTTGCAGCTCTGACCACTTTCTTTGGTTTTTGGCAGTGAGAAAAAAAAATTGAAAGTTGTAGATAGAATTCTTGAAGTCAAAGGCTTCCAGTTGCTGAAGTAGTGGAATACTTTTTAATTAAGTATTTTTCTTTCAAAAATCAAGGTTGTAGATTAATAGAAATATAGATCCTAATTTATTCATCTTTTCCAGTCACCAAGGCAGTATCAAACAAGGCTTTAAATTTCCTTACAAATTTTTGGGAACTTTTTTTCAGTCTGCTTGTAGTATGCATTTCCTTTCCAGAGATTACAATAAATCTCATGAACAGCCTTTGTACTAAACTTCCTCACCACAGAAGTTGGAAGTGTTCCCTGGTATTCAACTTGCTTGCTGAAAATTAAGTGTATTTTATCTTAGCCTTCTTCCACTGATAGTAATTGAAAGAGTGATTAATGGCCATTTTATTTGAGACAGATCATTGTCAAGTGTTTCCATCCCTCCGGAAGTCTCTCTTTTAAGATTTAGTATCTGTCTTCTTCATCATCAGTCATGATGTCTAAGTCTCTAATAACTTTTGTCGCACTTCTAAGGACCAAAGTGATAAGCTATTGGAACCTCAGTCGTAGGAGTGTCTTCTAGTGGCCAGCTCTGAAGTGCTGAATGTGATCCTGCTCATAAAGAATATTTGAAATAGTCCTTGTGTGGCTTTGCTTAGGCAGTGGTGTACTGCAAAGAGATCCATAAATGCTGCCTGTTCCTCTGCTTCAGATTGTGTACAACCTCTTGTCCCTGCGGTTCAACAGCCGGATCCGTGTGAAGACGTACACCGATGAGCTGACACCTGTTGACTCAGCAGTGCCTGTACACAAGGCAGCAAACTGGTATGAAAGAGAGGTGAGTGCTGGTGCACTTGGGAACAGAGTTTTTGTGGAGAGAGGCTGTATTTTCATATTTAAAGTAATTCCCCAACGCCCTCAGGAAGAAATAGAGAAGTGTTTCCCCAGCTGCATTTTCAGAGTAGGAGATAAAATGGTGTTTGATTTGCTTTTGAATGAATTCCTGCATCAGTTTTGCTGGGACTGTACAAAGCCAGGCATGTAACTAAAATTTTATGGAAATAACACAGGTTATGTAGTTTTGGGGATTTTTTCAAATACAATTCAACTAACTTGGCTCCCTTTCATTTAGGTTTGGGACATGTATGGTGTTTTCTTTGCCAACCACCCTGATCTAAGGCGAATCCTCACAGATTATGGGTTTGAGGGCCATCCATTCCGGAAGGACTTCCCACTCTCTGGTTATGTGGAGGTAGGAGATACAGTCATGTCTAAAGTTACCAAGTCTGTCCAATGCCGTTTTCTGAGCTCCAGTACAAAGATGTGACTGCTTTGCAATCACTTGTCTATATTCCAGAAGAGTTATATAAATCTGCACAGAAATTTGAATTATCACACAAAATATCATCTATGAAAAGGCAGCCTAAGGCTGGAGAAATTGAGCAAATGTTATGTGCTGTATACCAAAGACACTTGTCAGGCAGAGAAAGTGCTTCTGCTTTCAGCACATTTTCTGTAAGATTAAAGTTTCCACTGCAGAACTGAGTTGTCTAGAAGGATAAAGGACTGAACTGTTCTTGATTCAGTTGGAACTTGACTTTGTTGACTGTTTGTAGGCCCAGATTATAAAACTCTGATTAAACTGACTCTTGCCATTTATTACTTCTGTATGCCAACCACAGATTAAATGAGAGTGTTTGGTATCTGTCTGGTTTCAAATGACTGCCCTGCAGAAGCAGGTGTATTTGGTGCAGTGTTAAGACTGAGTCGAGTCTCAGAAGTAAAACAGTGAAGTTCTGCAAAAAAAGAGGCTGTTTTAAGAAATGTAGAAATAACAAAATCCTGCAAGCAAGGATAAGGCACCATCTCCTGAGCTGGCTTCAGAGATCTGGACTGGCACAGTGAGGATAAAGCAAGGCAGTCAGAAATGTCTGGTACTCACCTGCATTCCATCCAGGTTGTCTTTTTCTCCCCTTGTTCTGAGTGTCACGCTAAAAATTAGAACAACTAAAACCACACAAATGCCATATTATAAAGATTCATGAGTGTAGTCCTCAGGCATGCAGGCCCAGGATGGGACGTCTTATTTCAGTGACTCAGGACAAATTCCTTTGTCAAATGACAAATTAAATGTGTTACTGCATGTGACCTTCATGTGGACTGTTAGGGTGGGTGCTCCTGATTCTGGGTGCTTAGTCATGACACCTGAGGGGCATGGGAGCAAAGCATAGGAGGAGGGTTTTCTTGGACACTGCACAGATCTTGGTAGCATCTGGAGAGCTCTTCTTTAGTCATGAGGAGAACTGAAGCTGTGGCAGAGGCCTGTGGGCCTGGGTTTTTTCCATGGATAAGAAGTAGTTGTCTGCAGAAAGGGTGGTCTGGGTCATTACTGGGTCATTGTGCACAGCAGACATGCTGCAGGAGCAGGGTGAAAATGACTGGCCTGTGTTCTTTGTGCTGTTCCAGGTGCGGTATGATGATGAAGTCAAAAGGGTGGTGGCAGAGCCTGTGGAGCTAGCTCAGGAATTTCGTAAGTTTGATCTGAACAGCCCGTGGGAGGCATTTCCTGCCTATCGTCCAGCTCCAGAACCCCTGAAAATAGAAGCAGGAGCCAAGAAGGAAGATACCAAATAGCAGCGGAAGGAAGTTGATGTGCATCCTTTCTGTTCTAATATAGTATTTATAATAATAAAAATTGATATGAGATACTTGCCTGTTGTCATCTCTTGAATAATGTTTCCAAACTAGATGAAAAGCACAAGGCCCAGGAATGCTAATTTATAATCCTTAGGATCCAGCTGGTAGATCCAGCTGGTTTATCTGGTGCTTTGAGTTGTAAAACAGGGAATTTGTCTTCTTGGTTTGCAAATTGAACAGAGTGAAAGCATTGCCTGTGGCTGTGTTTCCTGAACACTACTACTGCCACCAGTCCCTGCAGGTAAAAATCAGAATCTGAGCACTCCCTAGGAGACTGCAGTGAAGCAGCTGTGGAGTTTGAGCAATAGGACAGTAGTTTCTTAGCTGCAGGATGAGTGTTGGGAAGACAGTAATAATATGGCAAACAAAAAGGCAAAGCCTGTGTAAATGGTTCTAATACAGTTCCTGTCAGGACAACACAAATGTACGTGGGTCCAGACCAAAACAATTATGGAAATCTCTACTATTTCCATGGGGATTAGGTCAATGCCTTTTCTTCCAACAGGAGTTGCAGGTAACTTCTGATGTGACACTCCCTCAATAGCTTTTTCTTCACAATCAAGCAGTCTTTATTTTCTCCAGCATCTTCAGAGTGTGCTTTTTTTTCCCTGCAGCCAAAAATAGACCCCTCCCTTGCCTCATGGACAAGAGTATGTCTTTTAGTCAGTACTCCCATTATTTTGAGCTCTATGATACAACAGCATTACTACTTTCTTTGCTTTTGTGGAAAATATCTTTTTTTTCCAAAAAACCTGGAAGAATGCTATAGTTCCAGTCCACCCACCACCTGTTTGAATGGGATTACATTACAGCAGTCATCAATTAATAATGTCCCTTGTCCTTGGTCCAGAAAATGCATAATGCTGTTCTGCATCAGAAAGCTGACAGACTTCATTAAGATCTGAAAACTGTTGTATAAGATATTTCATAAAATAATTCACAAGCAGTTTGTTAAGATTCCCTCAATCAATACTTAAGTTTTTAAATTGTAAAAGAACTAATTAAAATAGGGGTTAGGGGGAGGTTAGAGTATGGGATGGAGGAAGGTATACAACACCAGTAAATTCAATTTAGAAAAAAATCCTATGTGCTGTGACTAGAATGTGATCTCTTTTCAAGAATAAAGGCTGAACTGTATTTTAAGAATTGGGTTTCATATTTGTTTCTGCCTCAGCCTTGTAAGCATGGTTATAATGTAAGCTGGTTAATTTTTTAAAAAAAAATAATTTTTAAATTTTGTTTCAGCTGCTATGGCCAGCAGTGTTTGGGATGTGACACAGCGGTGTTCTCTGGTTAAAATAAATCTGTCATTCACCTTAAAAGTCACCACTCTACATGGGAAGGAGAAGTGAACACAGATTAACAGAAATTTGGGGTTTTCTACAATTCTTAGCTCTGTTTTGGATCTGTCTTCAATTAAGCAGATTAAATAGGAAATGAACTTTTAGTTTTTCCTACAGGATGTTCCACAGCTGGTTGTTTTCTTCACAGTGGCTCTCATAGCATGCTGATGCCTATTGTGCAAGACAGAAAAGTTCCTGGTGCCACTTCTATCACCATGAAAATTCTTTATAAATCACATTTCCTCTCCATGTTCTCCTTCATCCCACGTTGCTTGAGACACCACACCAAGACTTACGGTCTATATATTATAAAAAAAACATATTTCCCAGTATGATATGTCAGACCGATGGTAGCAGGAACACTAGGAAATTTGCCTTTTAAAATTAATGTTTGTGCGGAGGGAGAATTTGATCGACATCAAGAAATGTCAGACATGATGCCTGTCCAGTTAGACAATATGCAAGGTTTGCTCAAGAATGTGTGTACTGGAAAAGAAGCCAGCCCTATGGGAACAGGCACTGGCTCCAGCAAGTTTTCATTTGTGGAATAGTTGCAAGTGGACCTGAGTCTCTTCTCATTAGTGAAGCCTGGGAGATCAGGAAGGCTGCAATTTACTCATCTAGCCCAGGGCACAAGAGGTTGCACAGCTTCACAGAATACTTGTGCACTCTGCTTCCCCCACTGCTCCTGAGCTCCTGAGGCCATTTTGCTCATCAAGCCTGGTCACTCTGGCCTCCTTGTGGCTGGTGAACACTTGCTTTGTGCTGGACAAGGCTGTGGTCAACATGGCCAAGCACAAAGCTGTCTTCAAATTCTCTGTCCCTGCCTGTTGCATACCGCCAGCTTCTGCAGGGTTTGTTTGCCTGGGTTGGATTCCCCAGCTGTAGGAGCATGTGGGATGCTATGACTGTACATAACAGATGTAGCTGACTTATAGACACACTATACAGAAGAGAGATTTTCTGGTACTGAAAGGACAGATAGACTTCAGGTGGTAACTCACGGTCACCATGTTGAGCTTCTCCAGCTAAGTTTTGCTGGTGTTTTCCAGAAATCTGGCATTTCTCCCTACAGGCAGGCAAGCAGACTGTCCTCCCTGAGGGTGTGGCTATTGACAATGCCAGGGTGTCCACACACCTCATGTACAGCAGGTACAGTGGGATGGGACCCTCCCTGTCACTTTTACACAGCTCAGTACTCCTTCAGGCAGTAGATGCTGCTCACAAAGTGAAACAAGAAGATAAGGAAAGCATCCTTGTAAGGACTGGCAGCACCATACCTGGAAAATACCAGTATAATAGAGTTCCTGTCTGGTCACAGTCAGTGCTTCACTCCTGCTTCCCTCCTGCTTCCCTCAAAGTTACCTTACTTCCACTCCAGTAACTCAAACATCACCTTTTCTGGGAGCCATGTATGTGCTTCTTCCTTCCCCTCTTTCTTCAATCTTCTTTCTTCCCTGAACATCTGCCAGACAACCCCAGGCTGGGGAGTAATCTCCTCAAGTTCTGGGCAAGATGATCGAAGCAAGTGATTTCTTCAATTTTATAAGCAGAATTTCCCTTTTGTGAATATGCTATCTTCCTCAAGTTCTACTTCAAAGAAACTTCCTTCCTAAAGAGATTCTTCTGGCGCCACACCTTGTGCCTCAATCAGCATCCAACCAGTTCCTGCAGTTTTTGACCCCTCTTCTCTTGTTCTCATTTCCCATGTTCCTGCTTCAGGAGGTCATGGTGAAAATGAAGATACCAGCCAAGGTGTCCCTGCATAAACCTGGCTTGTGACATTTTGAAACTGCTCCAACAACAGACGGTATGGCCAGGGGAGTGCAGAGTGGTAGGGCTGTGCTCAGCTGTGAGTACCTGGCAAGGACAAAATCCTTCAGGAGAAGCAGGTGCACTGTCTAACATTGTAGTCGTACATGCAGGGACTTTGTGCAGCTGTCAGAAACTCAGCCTTGTTTCTGTGCAAGTATTGCTGCTGTACAGACAGCTAAGGAATATGCTTATCACTCTGAAAATGTCTTTCTTTGTGGGATAGGGAGGTAATTCTACAAAATTCCCCTAGCTCAAAGCAGCATTCACACTGATGCTTGTCCCTCATCTGCCACTACGTCAGTCATCTGAGCAAAGCCCCCACGCCTCCTCTCTTCTCCCTCCCACCAATGTGGCTGTCCTCCTCTAGGCACTTCCGCTGCAAGCTGTTCCTAGGAAATTCTCGTGTTGACAAAATCATGTACAACTCTCACAGATGTTGGCCAAAATCCTGTTGGGCAATCCTCTTCATGTCACATGCTGCAAGTTAAAGAGAGGCTGTTTCATGGCCCACGAAGCACAGGGGTTTTTGTTTTTCCACAGCGGCTTCTAGACAAAGTCCTGTGTACAGTGTGACCTAAAAGGGACTTCGGCACAAAGCAGGAGGCACATCAGTCTCACCGCACAGATGGGCCGTAAGTGTCTGCCTCTTGGGTAGCTTGTGATTCAGTTTAATAAAAGAAGAAAGGGATGCAACTGAAGAGTAAGCAGCAGAAAATAATGAAAAACAAAAGTAGCGCAGTGTGACTTGAACATGCCTAAGGCTATGACAGAAACACAGGTCTTGCTTTCAATCCAAACTGACAGGAAGAATGGCTCTGGATACTGTGGGGCCCTCTGTGACTCTTCCATTACGTGCTGCTTCTTTTGGCTGGTGTGAGTCCAGGTATTGCCAGGTACAGCTACAGATCCTGAAAGTAGCAGAAGATTTGGTTCTTTGCACACAACTTGCCAACCAGGATATCATCCCAGCCCTTAGTACACCATCTGGTGACAGTATGTCCTGTAACTTGCTGAGCAAGGCATGCATTTCAGATTTACCTTCTCTCTTTTCTAGGCAGACTTCTTTCTCCCTTTAACCTGAGGGAGATGGCATTAGTCCTTATTTATACATATAACTGCATATTTGTATAACCCTGGCATCACATACTGTGCCATACAGAGTAGGAATACAGAACAGTTTGACCGGGGATTTGGCACTAATAAACATGTAAATATGTGTAGAGAACAGATGCCTGCTGTAAAGTCAATCAAATGAAATTTTGTCTATGTAATTTAGAAAATCTAAGGCAGACTGTGCTCACTGTAACCCAGCAGTGCAGTCACAGGAGAGGATGATGAGGCGCTAAAGCCTGAGCCACTTCGATACTTGGTGTTTGTTAGGTCACTGTACTGAGTTCTCCCTCCAGGGTATTTGATAGAGAACTGAACCAGTGACATTTCTTCTGCCTGCCTGTAAGTTTTGGCTGCTACTGCCCTTCCATGAAACTGCAGTCTGCGAGCTTTATCTGTTTGAGACATTCCAGGATTGTTTTCAGATTTTCAAACCCAGGAAAAAGGAGAACTGAAAATGAAGCTAAGGAGGCGAGCAGAAGTGTCGCAGTATGTGACAGAGGCACTGAGCAGAGATAGAAGGGGCTAGGGGGTCCTCCCTTCTTAAGAGGCAAACATATGTAGTGGAATTTCTTACAACTAACAGCTTCCTATAATCATTGCAGTGGAAAGTCAGTCTTTGAAAAGGAAGCTTAAACAATTCTGCCAAAAACATCACAACAAAGTTCTCCAAGTTTCCAAAATATGATGGAAAATATCTTTTGGGGTCAGCAAGTTGAACTGCAAGCCCTTCCCAGGGCTGTGACCAGAAACACAGAAAGATGGATCCATTCCAAGAGAGGCTGCTGGGATCCGAAGCAGCACGGGAAGACGCCCCAGCGAACTGCTGTGGCTTGGGGCGCTGCACTGTCACGGGGCGGGTGGCAGCTGCTCTGGCAGTGCTGCCATGGCCCAGGCACAGCTCAGCTCCTGGCTGCTCCTGTGTGTGTTTGCTGCATCCCAGAGGCTGACAGGTAGGGAGCACATCTGTAAGCAACACGCTCCTTGGCTTGGCAAACCTCGGTGCAGTGCCATTTGTGTGATGTTTTGCTTCTCCTTCAAATGTGGCTCGAGGTCTCAGGCAGCTGCACTGGCAAGGGACAGAGCAGGAGCTCAGCTGGGGGAGGTTTGCTGGTGCGGGCAGTGCTACCTACTTGCAGGTTGAAGACCTGAAGGGGAGGATTTTCTTGGGTCTCCACTGAAAAAATAATCTCCTGCAATACTGTTTGTGAATCTTCTATATTCTTTTTGGGAAACAAGACCCCACCCAACCCTGCTGAGGGATAAAGTAAGTAAGGATTTTCCCTTTCCCAGAGGATATTTATGTTATTATTTCAATACATTATTTGTTATGCTTAGTTAAATTTTTCTCCACTCAAAAATCTACCACTGTGTTTATTATGAGGCAGTTACTAATGATGGTAGTTTGGCACCTGTTCAACAATGCACTGACTCTGCAGCCAGTCAGACATTTCTCAGGAGAGAGATCTGTGAACCTAGAGGATCGGTTACTAGACACAAGACCAGCAAAGAAAATTTTCAGATGATATAATGCTTTCACCTGAGCTAAAAGCCTTGCTGGTACATCTATGGAGGAGTAGGGAAGAGAAGCTACATCCCTGCTCACATTCCAAAGCCACAGCTGGCTTGGATCACAGAGCCTGCAGCTGTGCAGAGAAACAAACCTCTGCAGCCTGCGGGCTGGCAGTGCACTCCTCCAGGCAGCTTGTACATCTCTCTGAAAAGGTCTAATCAAAAATGGAGATCTGGAAGTGTCTTTCGGTACACATCACACATCCATAGTACTAAATAATTTTTCTACTTTTTATATGCACCTGCTGACTTTAACTCTGGAGTATTCAAGCAAAATCCTCACTTTTTTTTTTTTTTATAGTATTAAAAAGCCTTCATCCATTTAAAAATGAAAAAAAAACCAACAAAACAACCCCATAAATGTATCAGAGAGCTTACTATTTTATATGATCTTTTTCCATTTCATGTTTCTTAACCTTAAGGATGAGTCTGTAAGAAGTAAAAGAGGGTCTTGGCTACCTCATGACATTGATAACACAGAGGAAGGAGGGGATGCAGCCTCTCTCTCACAATCCTGGACCAAGACTGCTTGTGTCTCCTTTTTCACACACACAAAAAACCAACTAAAATAAATGCAGACAGCTAAAACACTTTAAGTGTTAGGAAATGAAAATCAAACAATTCATAGGATTAATGTGACTATTATATTCACATAAAAACTGCCATTCCTCTGGCCTCATATCCATTTTTCCCAGATTACACGATATCATGTGTCCCAGCAAGCAATTAGCTGGACATCAAATGAGACATAATGGATCTGACAAGGTTTCTTTTATCCTCACACTCTTCCAGCAGCAGAAGCTTAGGGACGAAGTAGAAAAACCAGGATAAGCATCAGTTTATGTTTCTAGCAGCAGCTTGAGGAGCCTGCCAGCACGCTCCTTTCATTGCACAGCATTACTTTCTCCAGCAAAAGCTGCCAACCAACCAGACCCCATCCGTTCAAACCCTATCCATTCTCAGTGCAAGAGGCTCCTTGCTGCCTCTCTGCCTCTTTCACTGCTGTCAAAGCAGTGCCTTTGCTGCTGTACGCTTCAGCTCTGTTGGCAGGACTAAGGGCCGTGATATCCAAAACCTCGACTCAACCACTGCTGCTTCTCTTAAAAAGCTTGTTTTGCTTATCAAAATCCCGTGGTCAGCATCTGTCATATTTGGCAAGCTGAGTGGTAGCTCAGGAATGTTGAAGATGTTATTGACAATCAAACGGCAAAAACAGTAAACAGGAAGGTCTTGTGCTACGAAGCTCTCTGTCTGATGTCTTTCAGATGAACATCCTCACAGAGGCACCAACACAGCCCGTCGTGGCCCAGAGGACGCCGGCATCATGTTAGAGGTCTCCTGAGCACTGGGGGCCCTGGGCCGAGGCACTGTTAGTGCCCATGCTCCCACCTGCCCGCACGTAAAAACTCACCTGTTGTGTTTGTTCTCGTCCCTGACGGATTTCAGGAGCCCCCGGAGAACGCCTCGCCGATGCCTACCGGCATTTGTGCTCCCTCCTGCCCCACTCCGCGGCACCTCGCGGGGTGCCCGCGGCGGGACGAGGCACCATCCCCGCTGGGTTTGGTGTCTGCCCCGCCGGCGGCCAAGGCCCCGCGCACCGGGGAGCTGCTGCAGGCGGCACTGCGGGGACAGGAGGGCGGGAGGCAAGCGCTGCACAGGCCCCACGAGGTGTGGGGCTGGTCAGAAGCGAGGCGTGTGGGGCTGGCGGAGAAGGACGTGGTGTGGGACTAGGCCGGCCGTGAGGGAGCGGCCCGCTCTGGGCCCGCCCGAGGTTTGGCAGCACTGCGGAGGGCTTTGCTTGGCAGCGCGGTTGCGAGTGACGGAATTGTGCTGGGCCTTCCGTGACAGCGCTGCTCCTCTCTTGCAGATGCTCTGGGGAAGGCTGGATATTCAGGCCAACGGGACAATCCGGCTGCGGGATGAAGAGCTGGCCTCCCTACGCCCAGCACGGCGGTTCCTGCAGATTTTAGAGGAGGAAGTTCCCAAGACACCGGCGGAGATTGAGCAGCATCTGAGATATTATTCACTGACTGACACTCCCTTGCCCCCGACAGAGTTTGAGCGTCTCCTTTTCACCAGTGTTTACAGTGCCTATCAGGTTCGCTCCATACAGGGTCTGGATAAAGCCCCCTGGATTGGCTTTTTCTCTCAGCTGGTTGATGAAATCTTTCGTGACCTGTGCAAGGGGCTCTGCCCTGCGAATACCACTCTCCTCCAGGCCTCCTGGCCTTGGAAGGAGAAGCCTTCACATTTGGCCTCCCTGAAACATTTCTATCACTCTAACCTGGCCAGGACCAAGAGAGACACCTAATGAGGGAACCCACTACAGGAAAGGACACACCTGGCATCAGCTGCATCCTTGGTTATTTTCAATGCTTTCCACACCATGCAGGACCTTGTATAAATATGCCACACCTTTTTGTCCTGCTTTCTGCACTGTGCTGGCAACCCTCTCAGGATTTATGCACAAGCTTTTATTTTTAAATGAAAAAAGGACAAAACCGTAAAGTGCATTTCCCCCTTTCCTAATTTTTTGCTAAGTGGGCTGTGCTGAACAGGGCAGTGCTATTTAGATGTCTTACCTATCTTGGTCACTGATGCTTAGGAGAGATGGCTTGGAAGTATTTTTCCAGGATATTAAGCTGGTGTCATAGCTGACTTCATTTCAGATAATTCAGTTCACTCTCCTTATATTCTCCCTGTGGTTTCAGACAAATACAAGATCTTTTCTCCTCTCCAGTAGCAGCTAAGCAGGCTTTGTTGTGTTTCATGATATAGGTCAAATATTTAATTTGCTTTTTCTCTTCATGGGGCATCATATTTTATGTGTCAACAGCAATTTCCCATCTCATGTATTCATTTTTCTCTAAAAAGCAACCTGAAAATGTATGTATTCCATGAAGCTTTCTAGTACTTGCATATCATATTTACACTTATGCCCAGCTTTGTTTCAATTATCATTTTGGAATATACTTCCTGAAATCTCATTTAAATTCTGAAGGATCCTGACCTAGTTATTTCTTCAGCAGATTTTGCCTGTCTTCTATAAAGTTATTTTTTTGCACAGCCGTGGCATTTTACAAGCCAAACATAATAATTACATACTCTCTATTCTCAAAATCAGAAATATAATTATTTTATAGAAAGACATCATTAACATTTGTCTGTCATAAACACTGTGCTGTGGAATTAAATAAATGTAATTATCTCCTCAGGAGGGTTTTGATTTTGGTTCTTGTTGTTACTACCAGATTTTCTGCTGCCACTATAGGTATATCAATTTTGAACATTCATTGCATGTGCTTAGACGATGGGATCCATAATTCCCTATCAATATAATTTTTCCATGTTCAGCAAAAGAGGCATGTGTGACCTTCAGAGTGGGAACTGCTAGCTTCTGACCTAGTTAATCTTATTCCAAGCCATTGTAGCCCAACAGATGGACAGGAGAAATGGTAAGGCAGGAAGAAGAAGCCTGGAAGCAAGATGCCACAGACAGTGGTTTTAGAGGTCAGCTTAGGGTTATGACAGGAGATAGATTTAAAGCAGGTTGTTTGTTGCTGGATTTTTGTTTTGTGTGTTTGTTTCATTTTGGTTTGTGCTTTGGGGTTCTTTTTGTTTGTTTCTTTGTTTCAAGGATATAGGAATTAAAATTAGAATTTTATTTGAAGTAAAACATCTTGTCTCACCTAATGTTCTCTTATGCTGCTTTTTTACATACTTCCAATCTTTAACCTTCACCCTTTTGCCAAATATGCCCCCAGTCTTCAATGTCTAGGACATGTATGGAGTGACAGAGGCAGTGAGGGGCTGCATTCAAGTCCAGTTTGAGCAGAGTATCATCAAAAAGCTGATCTGAGATGGCACTAGTGTATGAAAACACTTGCTGGAGAATGTACAGCCTGATCCATATGAATACATGGAAAAAAGTTGAGTGGGTTGGCTTGTGACTCAGATGCCAACACACTGCTTTGAACTCAGGATTTTGTTAGGAGCAGTTTTAGAGCATTGCTGCCTGTTGAACTTAAAGTATGCTGAAGTGATGTCATGAAGCTTTGTACATGCTTAGGATGAGGCACTTTTGCAGTTTATATATTTTTGGGGTACAAACCAGGGTTTAGCTCAACTGAAATAGCACCAGTGGTGCTACAATGAAGTCTCCTGTGCTCCCACTACCTCCTCGGTGGATCCTGCCGGGTGCCTGTCCATCTGTTTGTTGGACTGTAGGAACACAGCAGCATCCTCTACAGCCACAGCAACCTCTCCACAGGACAAACTTTTGGTGGAACTCTGCACGTACAAAACCACCAGAACACAGATGCTGAAAACATCACCTCATGGTTCCTTTGACCCCGCCTGCAGGAGGCCATCAGTGCAGCACATGGTGGGTTGGCAGCACCCTTGTGTCCAAGGGGCTCATTTCTGGGGAAGGTAATGCCCCAGTGGTGTGGTACTACTCACACTTAGTGTTACAAGCCTGCAGATGATCCAAATCTGGACAGATTTAAAAATACATTTCTTACTCTTCTTACTTACATTGCTCCTGGGCTTTCAGAGCATGGTCCATTCACAGATTTGAGCCCTTATCTTTCACTACAAGAAGCCTGCTCTTTGTTTGTTTCTAAATGTATTTACATTAAATGGAAGTTGATATTTTCAACCAAAGCTTCTTGACTTCATCTACATCAGATAAAGAAAAGCACAAACCATTGTGAAACTTGCAATAAAATTGTAAGAGGTACCAGCCCTTCACACACACAAATGATTAAAAAGCATGTACACAGACACACTGGCTCAGTAACACAACCTCAGTTCACACAATTACCATGCTTCTCTCTCACCTGAGCTGGTATCTCAGCCAGTGACAACTCACAAAATAGCATAAATTCCAAACGGAGAACATTCACATTTTTTTAAATTTTTATTACATTCATTTTCATTACATTTATTCCCTCCCTGGATAAACAAGGAAAGTCATCACACCCTTTGCTGTCTGGATGCTGGAGATCTGAAGTAACATGACAGCAGTGGTTCTCTGATCCTCAGCATCTCACTACACCACCCCAACCCTGCCCCAAAACTACCTCATGCTTTATGTTAAATCAAACACCAACACAGGACACACAGCTACAACCTGAAAGGCCTCTCTACGGATGAATGGCACACACAGCAGTGGCCCTGCAGACAGGGCACAAGCGTGCAGCATAAGGAAAGCACTGGACACATGACAGCATGCTCAAAGTAGAGGATGATATTCAGAGAAGCTATACCCAAGTTCATGGCACCTTAGCTCTTCTTATGATTCTTTCACATCTGCATTTAATTGCTTGACCCTTGAGGTGAGCTGGCACCTGGAAGCCACTTTGGCTGAGCCTCTGAATAGATGAGGAAGCCTGTGAAGGTGATGTACTTGCCATGGTTGCTGTAGGCACCATAGCCATCATGCTGATGGCTGTAGAGCCAAACGGTGTCCCCGTACTGCAGAGGCAGCATGATGCTCTGGCTCTGCATCTCCCGCCTCTTGGAGTGGTTGTCATCGTAGATCATGGCCTGCACCTCATTGTGGTTCTTCATCAGTTTCACTGACATAGTCTTAAAGGGCATTTTGCCAATGGTGAAGGAGAAATAGTATGCACCAGGTATACGGCATGTGAAGATGCCAGTGGAGGAATTGAAATCTTTTCCAATATTCACAAACTCCGTATCAAATGTGATTGGCTCGTGCTGGGTTTGCTTCTCATCTGTCCCCAGGAGACTTTGCGAGCGGGCAACAGAAAACGCAGAGCGAGGGTCTTGTACCCTGTTTGGTTGGTCGGACAACACATGTCGCTGTGAAGCTTCGTTCTGCTCTCTGGGAAGTTGCTGAACTGTGTGAGGGTTGTGTGGCCCGAGCTCTTGAGAGCTAAGAGCATTCTGGAAGAAGGCAGAAGTGTCTGGATAGATCAGGTAGCCATTGAAAGTTGTATAGGGACCCACATTGCTGTAAAGAGCGTACTTGGGATCTCCATGTAAACGCAGCCAAACTGTGTCACCATAGTCAAGCTGCAGCATGGCACTCTGGCTGGCCACCTTCCGTTCCTTGCGGTGATGTTCATCATACACAATTACCTGCACCTCATTCTTGTTTCTCATCAGCATGACAGACAAGTTTTTCTTTGGGTATTTCCCAACAGTGAAGGAGAAGTAGTAGGCTCCTGGGATCCGGCAGCGGAACAAGCCAGTCTTGGGGTCAAAATCATTGCCGATATTCACATACACTTTGTCAAAGGTAATCACCATCTCAGAGCTCCCTTCCATGCTGCTGGTTCTGGCCACAGAGAAAGCAGAGCGAAATTCAGCACTGGTGTCTGCTGGGAAGCCCTCTGTAGGAAGAAAATTCATGCAGCAAAGGAGGCCAAAGATGATCTGAATGTTCAGTGTCATCATTGTATCTGGAAGAAAAAAGAAGCATATTTTAGCAACAATAGCATTAATTTACAGCTCACGCATCAGTTGAAATCCAGACCTGAATATTGCTAAATAAACATGAAGATCCATGTCCAAATATTGAGAAATTTCCAGTGTGTTCTTTGAGCAGTGTATGGGACCACACTGTAGTTCAGATCCCAGCACCACTTTTATATTTTCCTAGTGAGAGCTGGACCTTTTTAATATGTACTCATGGAAAGAAAAAGAACCTTCTCCTTTGAAAGCCTGGCTATCCTACAGCTTGTCTGCAAGATACCATGTTGCACACACTGCAGAGGGATCTCAGAGCTTGCTGGGGCTTTGCCAGAGCTCCCTTTTGTTGTGCCTTTTTTAATTTGTAAGACCAAGGATGAAACAAAGCCCTGCACAAACCCTGTATTGCACAACTGAGACACAGCTGAAGGGCAGGGAGAAGAGGACATATGCTCTAGAGATTCCCATGCAGATGCTGTTGCCTCGCAGTGCAGTAGCTGTTTCACAAGATGTGGAAGCTGGAAGCCAAGTAAGTTGTTAGATCCCATTATTCCAACATGAATCTGTGAAAAGTATAAAGAAATATGAAGAAGAAGGAATGTTTAGGGAAGGAAGACAATGGAGAAAATTACTGAAATAATAAAAAAACAAGGAAAACAAAATGGTAAGTAAAAGGAAAGTCTCCTAACGTGTACAGCTCCTGAGAGAGAACTGACATACCAAAAATGGGGAAACAACTCCCTAACTGGAAAACAGACCAGACATAAAAACTTCTTTGATCCCTATAAAAGTTAGGCACTAATAGGATTTTCTGCTTCTATTTTCAGTGAATTTTTTTTTTTTTTTGGACTGAGGCCAAAAATTATCTATTAGTGCTTTCAGGCTGGAAACAAAACTGCCAGTCATTCCAGTGGGGAGCTTCTCTTTCTGTCACCTCTCTGTGCTTATTAAAATATCATTCAGGCTAGGAGGCAACTGCCTGGTTTGCAGTCTGCTCCATCTGTCACCCCAAAACTGGTGCCTTGCCAGCCTGCAAACAATGAATTCACAGACCAGCAGAACAGAAGCAAAACATGCAACTCATCAAAGGGGGAGGGTTGAAGACAAATCCTGCATTAAAAAGGATAAAGGGGTAAATATTTGAATAATCTGAGATGGCCCAGTAATAGAAGTAAAGCAGACAGAATGCACATAGACTGTGAGGTGGCAAAGGGATCCTGCTTTGGCAAGATGTGATACCTAGAATCACTCACCAACAGGAATTCAGTTTGATTCCTGCTCTTTCACATTTGAGAATAAAACTGAAATCTGAGGTGCAGCTTTAATACATAAGAACCCAAGAATAAATTAGATTCTCAATTACATAAAAATGGCACACCAGCAAAGACTAAAAGAAATATCCATCCATGACCCAACATTAGCGTAGATCACTTCTCTCACAGACACCTGCAGTAGGGCTCTCAGCCTAAGCAAGCTTGTAAGTTTGGCAGTGAAGGGCTGAGCAAGGGGAGTTTGCTGTTCAGTGAAGCAAGGACAGGCTGCTGATCAGTGATAACACTGAGCAAGGATAACACTGCTGCACTTAGTGCTGAAGAGTGCTGAGAGCAGCTTGACCAAGCTCTCACCCCCACCACAAGGACACACAAGACTGAGGCTCCCTGACTGAGGCTGGAAGCAGCAAGGATGTGCAGGTCCTGATTTGGAAGTGATGGTCAGAAGTGTTGAAGAGAAGAAACTAAAAAAGCTGCCAACACATTTTTCAGCAGAAAGCATATTTTTCTGAGTAACCCTGAGAACACATCATCTTAAAAATACCTATTTTGAAAGCATATTAAAGTCAATCACTCTATGCTATAAAAGGCCAGTGTCACTTTTGCACAGGAAAGATTTCTATCATACCCCCCTAAGGTGTGTGAAGATCCTTCCTTTCAGTGAGGACACTCCTCAAGGTTATTCCTTGAGGCTGAATGAAAGACATTTTCAACAGTTGTTGGTGTGGGAAAGTAACATCAATCTCTGCTTAACAATCATTCTGCTACCTTGAATATAGTTGCTTTAATATAATTGCTTCAAAAACAGTGCACTAAATCAGTAGTAATAGCGATCCATACTGTGTAGTAAATAATTCTGATTAAGCTTTTTCCCCCTAATCATTATTTCAATAAATTGAAATAAATACTTAATTTTATTTCTATAAATATATCTGGTTGCTATCCTTAGTTCTGCAGGATGAAGTTGTATAAAAGCTCAATTACACCTGTGTAATTAGATATAAACCATTAGATATAAACCATTGACTAAGTCCGGGACTAAGATTGTATCCATCTGTATCTCAGTTCTTTTCTCAGAAAGAATTCAGAAAGTGAGGGAGTCTTTTCTGTACCTTGTGGTTTCTGTTTGTGAAGGGAGGGCTTCTCTAAATTTGAAGCTCCCATTCTGCCTGTGACATTTCAGTATTTTCTTCCATGCCCCCAATTTCAGAATGTTTTTCCTGATCTAGCCTGCTCCTCCAGGCCCCCACGTGCTGCACTGAATGTTGCTGAGAGAGCTGACTGATGTCATTTTGAGGCCACTCTCTATCATCTTTGAAAGGTGATGGACATCAGAGGAGGTCCCTGGTGACTGGGGATAGGCAAATGTGGCACTCATCTTCAGAAAGGACAAGTGATACAACCTGGGAAACTACAGAGTGGTTGACCAGTTAGCCCTCACTTTGGTCCCTGGGAAAATCATGGAATGTTCTTCTTGGAACATATTTCTAGTCAAAGGACATGTAATTTAGCCCACATTATTTAATTGAGCATAGATCACCTTCTTGTGGGAAGAGATCAGTGGATGTCACCTGCATTTTAGCAAGTCTTTTGTTTCAGTCTCCCAGAGCACTCCTCTATCCAAATTGTTATGTTAGGTAAGTGGACTACTAGAAAAGTGAAAACCTGACTGGAATATCAGGCTTGAGAACTAGTGTTTAATGTTTGATTTCAGATGTCATCTTCAATATTATTTATCAATGTCCTCAGAAGCAGAAAGAATGCCCACTGATCAAGACTGCAGGTGACACCAAAACAGATGGTTGACCAATATACTTGGAGGCACAGCTGCTATTCAGAGGGACCCAAACAGACTGGTGGAATGGACAGAAAAGAAATTCAGTGACAATAAATGCAAAATACTGCACCTGGATGGACTAACCTGTGTGTTGGTACAGACTGGTGACTGACTGTTTGGGAGTCTGTCTGAAAAGGGTCTGAAAAGGATCTAGGAGTCCAGAACAGTACTTTGTACTTGAGATAGCACTGTGCCCTGCAGGTACTGAAGGGTTACAGCACTCTGGGGTGCAGAACAGAACACAGCCAGGAACCACAGTTTGTGATTATTCCTCTTTAGTTGGCACTTGAGTGACTCCAGAAAAGGGCAGCCAAGATGGCTGAGGTCTGAAGCACCTGCCTGATTAGAAGAGGCTGATTGAAATGGGCTTGTTTAGCATGGAAAAGAGAAAACTTTGGGGGGACCTTGTAGCAGCCTTCCAGTGCCTTAGTTGTTCCTGACAGTGCAAGGTACTGCACTGAGGAGCATGGTGGAAGAATAATAGACAGTGGTTGTAAAATCCAAAGGGGAAGACTCAGACTAGATATAAGCAAAATAAGTCCCTGATGAGGCTACTAAGAATGTAACAGCTTGCTCAAAGAGATTATGAGATCTCCATCCTTGGAAGGTTACAAACAAGCCCGGATTAAGCTGTGACCAACCTGGTCTGCGCTCAGTGTTGGCTCTGCTTCCAGCAAGAACTTGGACTAGAGACTTCCTAAATCATGATTCCTGGTTCTGTAACTGAATCCCGTAGCTACTGCCTTCTCAAAGTTAAAATTCAGTCCCTAAACAGCCTAGTCATGGCACTCACATGGAGTTAACCAGCTAATGGCAGGTCTAACAGAAAGATTATTTTCCATCCAGCAAATTGAAGCATTTTCAATGAAACTATTAATCCACAGCTAAGGACCCACAAATCTGCTTCCATGCTGTCTTTATTTTTCCTTACTTTGTAGTTTATGTGTTTCTCAGGGCACTGACAGTCTCTTTTCCCATGTCTGTACAGCATTTGGCTACTGCTGCCATTTAAACAATACTAATAGACCCTAATATCCTACCAAGAACTAAATCCCAAACTGTCACACTTGTGAGCTCAGCTTCTGGTTCAGCAGTATTATTTTTGCAGAGTGCTACATCTAGTGTGGCAGGTTCATTCCAGCTTCCAGCTTAGAAAACCAAGCCCTAAAGGCAAATTTATAAGGGCTGTTAGATGTTCCTGATTCATACTCATTCATTGTTATTCCAGTGATCACCATGGTGTGGCTGCATGGAGAACCAGGATGACTGTGACATGCCTGCATGCTCTTGAGACAACAAAGGACAGGAAAGGATTTGGCATTTGCAATTTTAGCAACAAGCCTGCTTCTCTGAAATGCTGCCTGTGCTCCAGATCTTGTTCAGCATATCCAGGAGTCAGGGGGGATACTGAAAGCACATCACTGCTGGCCAAAAAGCACAAAAAGACAAAGCAGACAAAGCTTAATAAAGTCTGTAGTAAATCTGACCTTATGATCCCTCAAATTACCGCTATCCTTGCTTCTGTTTGAAAGCTAATTTCTCTGTAATAAGGTCACTTATTAAACGTTGGATCACTCAGTACAGTTGCAAAGACCCTCTGCTGCTGCTGTCCCTTATTTATCAGTTCTTTCCAAAAGCAAGTAATTTAAATGAGGCAGTTAATTATACTGCCCTTCCATTAGAAAGCTGTTTCCTTGACAGCTCCCACTCACCACTTTCAGCACTATTTAGGTTCTTTTAAAAATAATTTAGAAAGTATCTAATAACTGCCTCTCACACTAAACCAGTCTAAGAATAATTTGCCAAGCATTAGGAAGACACATCCAGCTACAGGGGTGCCATAAACAGAGGAAACTTGTGACAGTTTTTGGACTTGA